AAAGCATCACAATTTTCATATTTGACCCCCTTCATTTGCACCTTAATATTATTGAGTGATGTTCTGGCCAACTTTTTCAGATTTAATCTAGTAATAAGCAAAGAAACTAGGTAGGAATTAAAGAAAAATAAACTATATAAGCCACTTCATGTTACAACACCACATAGTACAATATTATATTACATGATATGCTATAGTATGGTCAATTTGTAATGCCATGTAACAGCTTAAATAACACAAATATGATACTTATATATTAATAGTATTAAGTTAAATTGATTGAACATATACCTATACTACAATATTTAATAATGTGATTGACATAAGTAAGGGCATATAGCTGCATAACTTGAAAAGAAATGCAGCAGATAAGTTCTTAATGAGTTTAACAATTTGCAGCGATAAGATAAAACAAGGTCATGGAGTTAATTTCATCATTTTCATGAAGTGGTGGAGATAACGGTTGGAATATTACAAAACCCAGCAGAAAGTATATCCAAATTAAACATGACTATAAGAGACTTGAGAATTCACCTCAAATCGTCAGAGGCTTGTGTTAGGCTCCGAGTTAATTTATCAACTTCCTTAAGCAGACCATTATCCCGAACCTCGGATAATAAAGGTTGAACATCTTCAGCCATGGCTTCTATCTGAGACATCACTACATCAAAACCAAAATCTTGAGTACAAGAATGAATGAAATTTGCACACAAATGTGGCTGAGCTCCACCATGCAGCCTGTATGCTCATACATGCCATGCACACATCTAGAATCAGGAAGTGTCTTTCTTGTTTATAATATTTATGAAATTGAAGGGCTTAGAGATAGGTGTTCTTCTTGCTGAAACAGGGAGTGGAAGTTGAATAACCTGCACAACAAACCTGACCACTTCTAAGGAAGGGCCAGCATCTGACAATAGTGCAACTATCTGATGGTTAGGGTAAAATGTTATTTTAAAATAACATAATATAATTGATAACTGGGAGTACATGAAGAACATTACCACTGAGAAAAGAATCTTATAAATGAAAATGTAAATTACTACAATGGTGATTTTTTTAAGAAGATAATCTATTCCACAGGTATCAGAAGTTACCACTCTGATAAAAATGACCAGAGGTTGTCAATCCTATGAAAAGGTGAACAAAACAATTAAAAATTCTCTCGTTCTTTTCCCTACAAATGCCAGAAAATACCAAGAAGGACATGAGATTCCATCTTCTATAGTCCTTCTTGACTTTCAAAAACTGCCCAATTCAATAACTCAGAAACCACTGACCCTGTCACCACCCAACTGACCCTGGCCACAACAGTTACGTGAACCGAATAATTATGTCTGTTAAGAAGTTCTAGAATTGGCATCAGCCACAAATGCACTTATAGATGCAGTCAAGCCTACCAAGTTGGACAGAAGACCAGTTAAAATGAGTACACTTTAGACAAGTTATTTGTCTTGAAATACAGACAGGCAAGTTATAGTGAAATATTATAAGAAAAGAGGGTCACATAACACCTTCATGAGTAGTGGCTTCGCATCTTCAACAACAGAAGCAACTCGTTCAGCTAATGAGTATGTATTAGCTATGCCAATTTCCTCCATTTCACGTCCAATTCGGGTAAATATCCCTACTAGTGCATCCAAACTCACCCCTTGGTGTCCACTAATTTTTTGGCGATCACATACAATCAGACCTTCCTTGACGCATTCTGGATCAAGAGGTCCTACAGAAGGACTTGGAATGGGATCTCGAGGGGTTATATCAATTAAAGTTTCCATTAAGAGACCAGACTGGTTCACCTCAATCAATGAATTCTGCGGAATAATTATCTTATCATCTTCAACCTAAAAAGAGAAGATAATTAATTCAGTCAAGATCCTTACAGAAGCAAAATCAATATATCTCGAAAACATGAAGAATTTCATTGTAAAATTGAAATATCAAAAGATGCATCAACCACAACAAAATTATGATATTGATTCAGACCTCAACAACTGCTTCAATGTTCTTCAGGGACGGTTAAAGAGACACACATTTCCAACAGTCCCCCCTCGA